GTTCCTTACCCTGGCCATGCCTCTCAGGACAGGTCCCCAGCTGCCTGCCTGAAATGGGTGCTTTTGGAGAACTTTGCCCTGGTGACTCAGAAACCCGCAGAGGTCTTGGGGTGAGGTCAGGTGGGTCGACAGGGCTTGGGACCCTTTGGGGGGGATGGGGCAGCGCCCATAGAGTTGGGGTTCACGGAGTGAGGTCGGGTGGGCTGAAGAGGGCTTGGGACCCTTTGGGAGATGATGGAGGCAGTGGGCACAGAGTTGAGGTTCCATGGGTTGAGGTCAGGTGGGTCAGAGAGGCTTGGGACCCTTTGGGGAGGGGTGAAGCAGCACCCACAGAGTTGGGGTTCCACGGGGTGAGGTTGGGTGGGCTGACGGGGCTTGGGAGCCATCTGGTGGGGGGCAGTGCTCCCAAAGTGGGGGTTCCATGGGGTGAGATCAGGTTGGCTGAGGGGGCTTGGGAGCTATCTGTTGGGGGGGCAGTGCCCCCAGAGCAGCGGTTCCTGTGCCTGCTGAGTGAGGGCCTTGGTTATGGGTGGGGAATGGCTTTCCCTGATGCGGCTCATGTGGCAGCTGTTGGTCTGGTCTGTGGCTCAGGGGTCCCTCAAATGCCAGTCGCATCTCCCACTGTCAGTGGGCAGGAAGCGCCCCAGCGGCATGGAGGAGGCTCAGGAGGACCTGTGTGCTTGCTCTTCCCCAGGGACCAAAAGAACGACCAGGGGGCCCCAGCAGGGTCCCTAGAGGGGCCATTGCCCTGTTGCTGATCTTGTTTCTTTTCTGGTTTTCTCTCAGGTGCCTGTGACAGGGCGGCCCACGAGCAGATGACAAGGACTGGCTTTTAACTTTGGTGGCCACTGAGAGGGAGATTATTGGGGCCCAGGAGCCCCTGGACGCTCACCGCCATGTCGGGATCCACGCAGCCTGTGGCGCAGACGTGGAGGGCCACTGAGCCCCGCTACCCACCCCATGGCATTTCCTACCCTGTGCAGATAGCCCGGCCCCACACGGTAAGTAAAGGGTGCATGTGTTCCCCGGGGTCGCCTTTGGGGCCTTCTTCTTTCACCAAGTCCCCACAAGGGCTGGTGTATCTCCAGCGGTGTCTGACCAGGGCTCACTGTGTCCCCCCAAGGGGAAATGGGGTGCCACGGCAGAGACCACTGGCGTCTGGAACTTCTGGTGAAATCTCTTAGCTCCCACTTTAAAGCTGGGAAGATGGAGACTGGGGCCAGGTTGAGCTGGGATCTCTGTCTCTCAGAGTCAGCAGTGGAATTTGCGTACAAACATGGAGCACCTACTGAATACACTTTCCTGGCAGCCCAGCCTCCCCTGGACCCCTTCTTGCTTTACCAGGGGGACCATTGCTGACAGCCCCTCGCCTCCCTGATCCTTGGCCCCGGAGCTCCTTCACTGTGGTGATGCTCGGGGCTCTGAGATGATGAAGCTCATGTCTCTGGAGCCCTGATTTGGGGATCCGGGGTGTTGGTTCTGCTCACCAAGGAGCCGCCCCATCTCTCGGGGATAGCCTACCTGTGGGGAGGCAGAAGTGTTCTCATGTGCTGGCCTGCACACGTGTGTGCGCTCGATCAGCTCTCCTAAGCTGCACCCTGCTCTGTCCTTCCCCGTGCAGTGGCCCTATTTCCTGCCTTCACCTCTAGCTGCGTGGTGTGGTTGTAAGGATGGACCTTTGGTTCTGCTTTGTTGGCATTTATTGGGTACCTACCGGGTACCATGTCCCTGGTGCTTGCCAGAGGGCTCTCAGGGTCTTGGGCCTCCCCGTTTGACCAGCTGGCAATTCGGCGAGGGGATGTGGGGCCTTGCGGTCGTAGCTGGGGGAGAGGCTGACTCTCTTGGCCTCTGTGTGTGCATGCACACATGAATACTACTTAGCGTGGTTCCTCCTCATGAGGAGAGGAAGTGGCGGGGGAGGGCATTTCCATCAGCGTGTGAACCCACTGGCCCCGCGCAAGGGTGTCCCAGACACAGCGGCCTCTTGAGGATTTGGGCCCCCCGGATGCTTTTCAGAGCCAGCTGGGCTAATTGGGCACATTATGGAGTCCTGTTACGAGAACTTGCCCCCGCATAGAGTCTTCAGATTTTCCCAAACAGCCCAACGAAAGAGCATCTTGCATTGTTATCCCATTTTGCAGATGAGGGGACTGAGGCCAGAAGATGAAAGCACAGGCCTCGGGTGAGATCAATGCTGGGAGACAGTCGGCTTCAGCTTCAGGGGTTTTTGTTTTTTTAAGATTTTATTTATTTATTTGACAGAGAGAGACACAGCGAGAGAGGGAACACAAGCAGGGGGAATGGGAGAAGGAGAAGCAGGCTCCCCGCAGAGCAGGGAGCCTGATGTGGGACTCGATCCCAGGACCCTGGGATCGTGACCTGAGCCGAAGGCAGTCACTTAACCAACTGAGCCACCCAGGCGCCCAGCTTCAGGGTTCTGAGCCCCTGTCACGGATGCCTCTATTTATTGGGCGGCTGCTATGTGCCCAGGGCCAAGGAGTGTGCTCCTGGGGGTGAGTTATTATCATGTAGTGTTGTGATCTTTATTGTGATCACCAGCAACAACAGCAAAACCGTGGCCTCTCGTTTGCCGAGCACTACGGCGGGACAGACGTTCTGTTCAGAGCCTGCTGTGCAGACAGCTGCACGTGCGGTTCCAGATCACCCCGGAGTGGGTCTCGGACGTTCTCTCTGTAGATGAGGAATGTGTGGTAGGTGAGGAAACAGGCCCAGTGGCTTACCCCATCTGAGCCTCAGTTTTTTATTCATAAAACGGGGTAAGAAGAGCATCTGATTGCTAGACTCGCGTGGGGATTAAACATAACGAGGGCTGAGTGCTTATGGCGGCGCCTGGCACGCACCCTGCCCGATGCGTGCATTTGACATTATCATTGCTTGTTATTGTCGCTGTTACTGCAGCTGCCCGGAGGGGCTCCCTCTCCTGAGGACCCCTGGCGGATGCCTCTGGCTTCTCTCTTGTTTCTTGGCGCCCCGCCCTGCTGGTTCCCAGCCCTCTCCCACCCCCTCCCCTGTGGTCCCTATAGCCCCTGCTTGCCGGCCTTCCCTCCTGCCCTGCCCTTTGCCTCAGCTGGGCCCTCAGCTGGCCCTCTCCCCGTCGTTTGGGGTCACTGGCTGACCCATAACATCTCCTGTTCTTCCCCCGCTGGGCTGTCAGTGACGCAGGATGTGGCTGGACAGGACCCAGCTGTCACCACCCACTCCAGGCAGGAGGCTGAGCTCCAGGGGTGAGCGGGGGTGAGCGGGGCCCTGGGGCAGCTATGGGGTGGGGTGTTCCTGTCCTGTGTGTGGTGGCAGCCGTGGGGCCCCAATCCCTAACCACCCTGCCTTGTGCTGGGGTGGCCCAGCCCTACTTGTCACCTGAAAGGCAGGAGCAAGAGTTCTGGGCACCCTGGGGATTGTGGGGGGTCTTGCTCTCCCGGGCATGTCTCCCGGCTGGAGCCACTTGCCCTTAGTTGGTGGGAGGTCAGCATTGGCTCTGTAATCTGGAGACTACCCGCCCCCCCGACTGCAGCCACATGCCCTCTAACCCCTTCCCATCAGCCCATTTTATAGGCGGGGTTTGGAGATGCTCCCTCTTTTTTTGAGTCTAGAAGACAGTGGAAGAAAGGGGAGATCAAGACACAGGGAGGTAAATGTCCCATCCAAGAGCCAGGCAGGAGCCCAGTGTATGGGCTCCTAGCATAGTAGCTAAGGCAGGAAGTTGGGAGGAAGGGGAGGGGCCTAAGCCGGGGACCTGTGACCTTCCTGGGGCTCAGTCCTCTCCCACACACACTCCTAAAAGGTTACCTTCAACTGTGGCACCTCCTGGCTCCAGAGGCCTCTTTCAGTGTGCTCTGAAATTTCAGCTGCTTGGACGGCCAGTCCCCCCTGGAGTCCAGAACCTCCAGATGTGGCTTTGAATCTCTGTCCCTTCCAGCTTGCTGAGTGACACTGGGCTGCTCACTTAGCCCTGTGGGGCAACCTCAGTTTTCCTATCTGCGGTATGGAGTTGTGGGTCTGGGCCTCAGTGGAGGACGTTTGCAAGGTGCTCAGGGCAGTGTCTGCATGCAGTAAGCATTTGGTGGTCCTCTCTTTCCTCCTGGCAGGGTGACAGGAGCCCCAAGGAAGGCCTCTCTGCCTTTGGGGCTCCAGGACCCTGGACTCTGAGGGGCAGTGGGAATTGTCCCGTTGGCTGGCCCACCACCTGCAGGCTGCCTGCTGTGGTGTGCGTGGCGTGAATGGAAGGCATGATTCCAGGCATGCTTGCAGGCAGAGGCCTGGACCCGAAGGCTGTGGGAAGCCCACCATTCCCCTGACCACTTTAGACATGCACTCAGCCTCCCTGAGTCAGGCACCAACTTCGGCACGGTGCACATTGCTCGTCGAAGGCCACCTGCTCTACCCTTGGAACCTCTCTGTCCCCTGCTCGCGCCACCTCTGTGGTCTTGGCTTCCCTCCCTCACAGAATCAGGACCCCACATCTTTCCCTGAGGGTCTCCCAGGATGGAGCGTCCCGACATCCCCTCCCTGCCTCACCTCTTATCAGGCTTTCTTTGGACTTCTCCTCCAAGTCCACTGGGACCATCTGAACTTCCCTGAGTTCTTGTAGTCCTTGTGCTGAAGGACTGTGTTAAAGTCAAAAGGTGCAAGGCCTGACATCCAGCAGTACTGCTTTCTGCTGTGTGGCCTTGGGCAAGTTACTTAATCTCTCTGTGCCTCAGTGTAGAAGGGTAGTTAAGAGCACAGGCTCTGGAGCCAGACTGCTTGCATTCATGTCCTGCCTTAATGATATCCTAGCTGTGGAATTTCAGACAAGTGGCTTTACCACCTCATGCCTCAGTTTCCCCATTATTTGAGCAAGATAATCATAGGATTCTGAGGTTCAGATTAGCTGAGATGGGCAGCGGCTTTGCGCAGTGCCTGGACAGAATTAGCACACGCTGATACCAAGTAATGATGGTGATGATTTCGATGATGACGCGTTATCATGACAACAACACAGCATGAGTATTCTTTTCCACATTGTCTGTGGGCTCTTCCTCTAGAGGAGGGGTCGGCAAACCTTCTCTGCGGGTACTGCAGGCTCTTCAGGCCATTCGGTCTGTGTCACAGCTGCTCAGCTCTGCTGCCCTCGTGGCTTGAAAGCAGCCCGCCAGGATGCAGAGGGATGGCTGAGAGCCAAGCCTGCCTTTGGCCTTGGGCCCCGTTTCTGACTCCTGCCCTGGATCGGTGCTTGTCAAACTCTTCGCGGGAAGGATCCACCCGTCTGACTTGCTGTTTGCCCCCGCTTGTCCATGGGCTTACTGCACGTGCCCCCGCTCTCAGATGTGCACCCTGGTTGTGCCCGAGGTTGGCAGCGTGCGTGTGGGCTGTTGTACCAATGCACGTGTCTTCTGTGTCCACCTCGTCACAGGCCCGCAGCGTTGTGGGCCTCGCGTGGGGCAGCGCTGCCCTGGCTGAAGGTCAGGGACCCAGGAGCCTGCCTGGGCCAGAGGAGGATGAGGACACACGTAGGCAGCTGGGGGCGGGGGGTGGGGTACTGGAGCTTTGCCCATGTCCCGAGTGCTGCCTGCGCTTTCTAACCCTCAGCTGTGTGGCCCTTCCTGCATCTCGGTTCTCAGGGCTTGGGGATGGCCCGAGGGGCGGTGGGGGGGCGGTGTTTGGCCCCCTGAGGAGCCCTCTTGGGAGCCCCCACGCTGGGAGCTTTACTCATTCATTTAGTACTTATTAGGCACCTCATGTGCTGGTACTTTCGTAGGCCCTGGGAACGGAGCTGTGAGCAAACCAGAAGTATCCCTGCCTTAGGAAGCTGGTGTTCTCCTGGGGGAACAAAGAGCAGGGAAGGAGGAGGGAGAGAGTGGCTGAGGTTGCAGGGGTCCTAATTGAAGTTAGGCCTAGGGAGGGAGACCTCACTGAGAAGCTGACATTGGAGTCAAAACCTGGAGAGAACTAGAGGGCCAGGCATGGGGAAATGTGGCTTAAGAATGTTCCAGGCAGAGGGAATAGCGCGTGCAAAGGCCCTGAGGTGGGAGCTGTCTTGATCGTAGCCCCCACTCCTCCAGGAGGGACCCATGAATCCTTTCCCTGCCACATATAGCTCCAGATGTTTCCTCAATCCCTTCTGGGGTGAGAAGCCTTATCCCAGGGGCCAGTGAGGAGCACCCTTCCTCCTAGCACAGCGGCAAAGAAAATCTTCCAGCCCCTCCTTCAGACATCTCCCAGAATCCCGACCCAGTTTGGATTTGATCCGAGGCTCAGATGCCCCAGCCCCTCTGTCCTTGTGGCCCCACAGGATCTAGGCAGGGACGTGCCAGATGGGGTTCCCTCCTGGGTAAATTGCTTTTCCAGCCCCATGTCACCTTCCCAGCAAGTTTTAGGGGCATAATTTATCAGCAAGCCCCAATTTCAGTGTCAGGCACTGTGGCTGGGTAGAAGCCAGCAGAGGTGGGTAGGGGTCTCACCTGGAGACCTTTTTCCTCCCCTGATTTTCTGAGCAGCAGCTCTGGAAGCACATGGTGAGGGCAGGGCAGGCCTCTTCTCCCCAGGTCTGGTTTGCTGCCGTCGCCAGGTGGGGTTGGTTCAGGATTGGCCCCCTGCTTCTCCCTGCCCCTCAGCAGGAAGCCAGCTTGGCCCAGTCTTGTGTCTCAGAACCTCCCCTCCCTGCTGTGTGACCTGGGCAAGTCACTTGACTTCTCTGTACCTGATTTCTCATGTTTGTGTGGGACTGTGCAAGATACCCACCTCATGGCGTTGCTGTAGGGATTAAATTAATTAGTATGCTTAAAACTTTCAGCGGCAGGTGGACACAAGCAATTTATGAATGTTAGGTACTATTATTACTTTGTTAACTCATGTAGAGTTGTGACGCTCTGAGATGTGGCTGGGAAGCTTGTAGACCAAGTGCCTGATGTATTCAGTCTCATGTGATCACAGCCCACCTTGGGTCAGTTTCTTTCTTAGGGTCTCCTCAATTCTTGCCTTCCTGTGGAACTTTGAGACACACTTGGGGGTCTGTGGGCTCAGCCCTGGAGACCAGCTTCAGGCCCTGGGGTGGAGTTTAATGAGGACCCTGCAGAAATGGTCCCTGAGATGCTCCTTGGAGGGACTTTGCAGGCAGGCATATCCCGCTTATCTCCTAAACTGGGAAACTGAGGCCAGAAAGGTCGTGAAGTGCCTCTCTGCCGCCCCCCCCCCACCATTGGGGGCCCCATGGGCCTCTTCCCGCCTCCGTTGGCAGTTGTTGGCACTATCTCACTGCGGCCTTCTCCCCAGGGATTGGATTGTCTGTCTCTCTGCCGCTTTGCTCATTTTGCTTTTGTGTGGAAGAGCTGGGTGGAGAAAATCTTCCTCCTGGCAGACTGCAAAGCCTGCTGATTCCTTCTCACACCTCTGTGCGTGCGTGCCAGATCTTTGCCTGGCAGCCTTGCCAGCGTGATCCTAGAGGCCTGCACCCCCTCCCTCGAGGCCTTTCTTCCTCCTCCTCCTTCCCGCCCGCCACCCCGCGTGAGCACCTGGTGCCTTGTGCTAGACGTCCTCACAGGGCACTGGGAGGCCGAGCCCTTCTCTGCCTTCTGGAAGCTGCCCTTCACCTTGGGGTCAATCCTTTGGAGAGTTGGGGGGCGGTGAGTGGTAGGAGGCACAGAGGCCTCCTTCCTGGTCAGGCACCCACTTCAAAGATGAGGAAACCAAGTCTCAGAGGGTTTGAGTGTCAGACAGCCCCCTCAAGCCATGCAACTTTACCCCACGTTGGGCTTCCTCACTGTTTCCAGCCTCTGAAGTTGATGGGGCCCCTGTTCGTTCCATTTACTCATCTGCTCTCGCCAGCATCTTACATGCTTGGTTTGGAGGGTCTGAAACATATGTTCCCAGCACACCTGCCTGGTATCATCTGATTCTCTTTGCAGAAATAACCGCTTAAAAAAAAAAAAAAGACAACAGAAGAATGACTAGATTTTTATGGAAAAATGGGAGAATTAAGAGAAATGCCAAGAAGAAAATAAGTCACTCCCGGTGCTGTTCTTCCCAAACCTCACCTGTGTCAGACATCACTAATTGACTGCCACACACAGTAGAACTGAGTGTTCTAGTCAGACAGAGCTAGTCGATTTGGGCTGGTACAGTGTGAAGCCAGTCCTGTTTTCTCTTTTGAAAGACTTGATTCTATCCTTTTTTAATTTTTTAAAAAAATTTATTTATTTATTAGAGCACGAGTTGGAGGGGCAGAGGGAGAGGGAGAGGGGAGAATCTCAAGTAGACTCCCCCGCTGAGTGCGGGGTCCCTCACGGGGCTTGATTTCAGGACCCTGAGATCATGACCTGAGCCAAAATCAGGAGCTGAACACTTAGCCGACAGAGCCATCCAGGTGCTCCTCTATCCTTTTTATAAAAAACCTTTTTTTTAAAAAAAATTTTCATTTATTTATTTGAGAGAGAGAGAGAGATAGCACAGAGGGAGAATGAGAGGGAGAAGCAGGCTCCCCGCCGATCAGGGAGCCCGACGCAGGGCTCGATCCCAGGACCCTGAGATCATGACCTGAGCCGAAGGCAGACGCCCAACCGACGGAGCCACCCAGGCGCCCCTATAAAAAAACCTTTTAATGTGCTTCAAATCAGAGTGTAGCTGATAATCAGGGTACATCTCCTTTGTTCATGTTTAGGTTTTACGCAGAGGGTCACGGACAGTAGGGGCATTTTCCTGAAGAAGGAGGGTTTTGCCTGCAGTTTATCCTTCTGACTTTGATCCGTGCTTCTGTATGTGACACACCGACCAGACCAGGGAATCCCAGGCTGGCCTTGTCTTAGAAGCTGGCCTTGAGCCTCCCAGGCCGTTGGTGCCAGCGCCGTCTCGTGCACATGCCCTGGTCCCTTAGTGCCCGGTTGGCCGACGCGCGGGCTGTGGCTTTTCCAGCTGTGTGCGGACACGGGGACTGGGCTGTCTCCTTTGGAAAGAGGGCGTAACCGCAGAGCTCTGGGTGCTGGGGTGGTGGGGAGTGAGGGACCCAGGCCGTGCCCCACCGGGTGCAGGTCAGCTGGCGATCGGCCCCGGGCACGCCCTCTGGCCACACTGGGCCTCCCGAGTGTGGCCCGTGGCCCGGCGCAGAAGTAAGCACTGGGCAGGGAGCGTGTGATTCTGTCCCCTGTGCCCGCGACTGTGGAGTGGGCTGGCTTCGCTCATTCACTTCCTGGGCCTCTCGCTGCAGGATGTCGGGCTGCTCGAGTACCAGCACCACCCCCGTGACTACACCCCACACCTGTCGCCTGGCTCCATCATCCAGCCCCAGAGGAGGAGGCCCTCCCTGCTGTCTGAATTCCAGCCTGGGAATGAAAGGTGAGCGGGGGCCTGCGTGTCGCCTGGCTCGGAGTGGCGGCCTCATTTCTCTTGTCGGGACCGGAGGCCTGTGCTGGAGTGGGAGCTGGTAGGGTGTGAAACGGGGGGTGGTTGAGCTGTGCGCTCACCCTTGTCCTGGTGCAGCTGTGACTTGGGGCGCAGATGGCGATGGGCACGGGAGAGCCACGGGGCCCTCTGACGTCCCACCACGGGCCTTCAGTGGTCTCTGGGCGTGTGCCTAGGCAGGACGGGTTGACCACCAAGATGTGGGGGAGCAGGCCTGGGGTGCAGGTTGTGAGGGACATGTCCGCACCGGGGTGCACACGGGGAGCCCCCTTCCTTCCCTCTTTTTGTCCTCCCCTTTTCTCTGAGGCCTTTTCTGTCCCTCAGCTACCAGACGAGGTGTCTGCCCGTTTGCTGGTGTGTGCCTGTTGCTGGGCCGGCTTGGGTCTCCTTCAGTCCAGGTGGGAGGGAGGGAGCCAGTGCAGCAGGATGGGGACCCCAGTGAGGGGAGGACTGAGGTCAGAGGAGGGCCCCAAGATGCCAGAGCTCATAATAGCATTAATTGCTAGGAGTCCTGACGTTGGACACGTGCTGGCCCATTCTAGGCTGTAGGCACACGGTGGGGATCCAGGGAGACGGCCCTGCCTGCCGGGAGCCTACAGTCTAGCAGGGGAGATGCACCACAAACACTACACAAGATGACTCCAGAAGGAGGCACATGACCTATGGGGTGGGGTAGGTATTACCTCTCTGGCTGGGGTAGCCAGGAAAGGCCTCTCAGAGGAGGGGCGCTTATCCAGTATGTCGCTGGCCATTTAGAGAGCTGGGTAAAGGCACTCCAGGCAGAGGGAATAGCACATGCAAAGGTCCAGAGATGAGAATGTGCTTGGGGTGTTCAGGGAGGGCTTGAACTTGAAAAGCATTTCAGCAGGCGCAGTGTTTAGGCTGTTTGGTAAAGAGCAGTAGTTGGAGGTGGAGTCTGGGAGTCCTGGCTCTGCTGCGTGTGCTCAGACAAGGCATGGCTTCTCTGGGCCAGTTTTGTCCTCTGCAAACTGGGGAGCCAGTTAAGGAGAGCCAATGGGGAGTGAGTAGGCTGGACAGCTCCCATCTCTGCCCCGGGCAGCCTGGCCGAGTCGGGAAGGAGGCAAGGCCAGATTGAGCAGCCAGAGTGCCGTGGTTGGCTAGTGATGTCTGCCCTGGGTGGGTGATGCGCAAATAACATTACGTGTGTTATCATCTGTGTTGGACCCACAAGGCTCTTTGGATTTGGCTGTGCCCATGAATCAGCTGGGGTTCTTGTTTCAATGCAGAGTCTGACTCAGTAGGTCTGGGGTGGGACTCCAGACTCTGCATCTGCAACCAGCTCCAGGTGGGGCTGATGCTGCTGGTTGTGGGCCATGCTTGGTGATGAGGGCGTGGGGAATCACCAGTACGTTCTCTTCCTGTAAACACAGTTAGTGAGCATTGACTTGCAGGGAGACAAGTCTGTGATTAAGTCCTGCCTCGCCGCGTGCCCTTCCATAGGTGGGCACTTCTCTCTCAGGGTCCAAGAGGGGGTGGTGCGCAGCAGGTGCTCAGCGGGAGGGCAGTAGATGTGATGATGCCCCGTGTCCTTGCCTCCTGTAGGTCCCAGGAGCTTCACCTGCGACCTGAGTCTCACTCATACCTGCCCGAGCTGGGCAAGTCAGAGATAGAGTTCATTGAGAGCAAGCGCCCTCGCCTGGAGCTGCTGCCCGACCCCCTGCTGCGGCCCTCACCCCTGCTGGCGGCGGGCCAGCCCGGGGGCTCTGAGGACCTGTCCAAGGTAAGGCCTGGCCCCAGACGGGAACTCCAGAGGATCTGGGTTTTCTTCTGTGATCAGACTGGGCGCGAGGTGAGGGGTGGGCGTGCCGGGCTGGGGCACAGCTTGGGCAAGAGGCTGGGAGGTGGGACTGAGTGCAGGGTGTACCAAGGCTGGGCGGAGGCTGGGCCTGGGCTGAGGTTGGCTCCGCCGGCCGCTCCTTGGCTGGAGGGGCACCACATCTACCTGGGTGTGTCCAGCCTGCGGGGCCACCATGCAGCCCTGCCCTAGAGAGCTCTTTCACTTGACTCCTCTTTAGAACGGAAAGTGGAGCTGAGATGGTGGGGGGGAGAATGTGCATAGCTTAAGTGCCTACGGCATGCTGCCATGGGAAGTTCTGCTCTTTCAGTAAATCTCAGGGTAGTTGAGGCTGGACGCTTCTTCGGTGTCCCATTTTACACAGAGGAAGCTGACGCGGAGGTGCTGATGGAGGGATCCCAGCCAGCCCCCCAGCTGCCCCTGAAGCTGTTTTACTGTCAGTGCCTGGGATGGGACAGGAACTGTGGCCAGGTGACATGCTCATCCTTGGCCGGCTGAGTGATGGATGTTACCTCTGCCCGTGCTGAATGTTTCCATTCGGCTTCTTCACAACCGTGGGGACACATGTTAGCTCGTTAATAGCCTCCCAGCTGCGGGGTGAGGTCGGTGCTCATCTTACTGCAGCACTGGTAGGAGTGGGAGCCAGGCCAGGTGATGGAAGTGGCCCACTTGGGCCTGCTGGGTCCTCTTCTCTGCCTGATGCTGGATAGGATTGAATGGTGGATTTCTGGCCAAGGCAGGTCCTTTACTGGGGGGCTGGCACAGAAGGGGTGTTCCCATGGTTGTGGTGGTGATGGTAAGTTAACGTTAAGTGAGCCTGCCAGGCAGCGTGCCAAGTGTGAGCATCATTCCGTTGCATCTTCCTCGCCCTGTGAAGTATGATCACAGATCGTACTTCTAATAGAGGGGCCCCAGCCTGAGGGAGAAAGCCACTTGCCCACGGTCGCTGGGAAGTGGGCACCGAAGGCCGGGCAGCCTGGGTCTACAGCCCACCCCGCCCACCAGGCTGTCCTGCCATGGGCTTCCCCTCTGGTCCCCCTATCGGGCCGTCTGCCTCCCTCCTCCCAGTGCCTGCCGTCCCCCCATTGGCACCTGAGTCTGTGCCTCCCCCTTGCTTCCTGACTGCTCAGTTTCCTGGGAGGGATGTTGCCGTTAGGAAAGCTGTTTCCCTAGGTGGGTCTTGGACGAGAGGCGAGTGGCATATGTGTGAAGGGACGTAGGGCCACAGGGAGCTTTGATTTCCTCCCTAGGGACTGGAGCCCCAAGTGGGTTGTGCCCCCTGCTTCTGTCCAGTTCTGCCAAGAACAGGCCGACAGTTGTCTCTGGCCAGCCCCCATCAGGCCTCTGCTGCCCACCCAGACTGGCCTCTGGAATAGTGGCTCAGAGCCTACAGGCCTTTGGGTTCTTCTGAGGGTCTCTGTGCCTTGCAGTGGCTCTGTGATCCTCTGCTTGTCCCTCTTCTTGCAGCTCCCTGGGAAGCCTTAGTCTTTGTGTCCGTTTCTGTCTCTGTGTCTCTGTCTTCTCTTCCTGGACCCTGGGGCTCAGGAGAGTAATGGGCCCAGCTTTGGGGCCTGCCTGGACCAAATACTGTAATTGCTCCAGGCTGCTTGCTAATAAGAATATTTGGAAAGTCTGAGCAGATTTTGGGCAAGGGAAGAAGCCAGGGGAGAACACAACTCTGAAAGTGTTCAGATGTTTTTTGCGTCTGCTTTGTGGAATTCAGCTGGATGCATGAGACAGGAATTCAGTGGGATTTTTTTTTCAGCCCTTCCCTGCCCCCCAACACCAGCTGTGTTTCTTTTTTGTATAAAAATGTTCTGTTTTATACTGCTTCCCTGCCCTTGAGCCTCTGGAGTTTTGTGGTATCAGGCTTCCTTTGGAATTCATCAGACTTTGTTTTAGGTGACTTTAGAGTCATCACACACAGAACCATTTCTGAAAGTCCCTTTGTCTGTTGGGCCTCTGTTGGCTGAAAGGGACAGAAAACCCATGTCAGACTAACTTAAGAATGAGTCCTGGCTCATATAACTGGAATCCAGGGTTTGTTGACTTCAGGCACAGCTTGATCCAGGTGCCATGATGTCACCAGGTCCGTCTCTTGGGTCTGCCATCTTCTGCGTGGTCTTGGTGTGTTAACAAGAAGGCAGTTTGTGACTCCAGGCCTTCCTCCTCCCGTGTTCAAGGCCATCATAAACGGAGAGCTTTCCCTCCATCTCCACATTTCCAGTCATAGCTGTTTCCCTCCTTGCCTGCACTTGTGGGCCTTGTCCATCCTGAGGCCAGCCCTGCCCCTGCCTGAAGCTGGGACCAGGGGGACCGACCCGGCCACAGGGCTTTTGCTACTTCTGTGTCTTTAAATTTGCGCAATGAGTTTTCTCTTCTGTGTTGGCCTGAATTTTACACCAAGGGCATTTGATGGGGAAAATGGTGCCAATTGCTACCTGGCGACCGACTGAGTATGGGTTTGTTGTTTTGCTCCTGTGGCTTTGGGCTGAAGTGAAGGCCAGCAGCCATCGGGAGAACCATCTGGAGGCCCAGTAGCCAGGCTCCCTTGGTCCCATTCCTGGAAAACTCCCTTACGGAGAAAGCTTTCTTTGCCCCTGGGTGTGCATCCTCTTTTTCAGTCGAGGTGAAATTCACATAACCTGAAATTAACTGTGAAAGCGAACAGTTCAGTGGCATTTAGTACCTTCCCAGTGCTGGCCCTGAGAGACCCCACACCCATTAGCAGTCACTCCTCATTCCTTCCTCCCCAGACCCTGGCAGCCACTAGTCTGCTTTCTGTCTTTTTGGATTTGCCTGTTCTGGATGTTTCCTATAAATGGAATCCTGTAAAATGTGGCCTTTTCTGTCTGGCTTCTTTCGCTCAGCATCACGCTCTTAAGGTTCATCCACGTTTTGGCATAGATCAGGGCTTTTCATTCCTTTTTATGGCTGAATCACGTTCCATTATATGATGATCCACATTTTATTTGTTCAGCCATGGATGAACCCACTTGTGCATTTTTGGTGGGAATAAAAGCTAAGCCTGAACCTCAAGTGACAAGAACCCATCGAAGAAGATGGGTCTTACCCATCAAGAAGTTAAGGAAAGGTTTCCAGCAACTTTTCCAGTGGTTCCCAGTAGTTGCCAATTGCTTCATCTAAGCCTTGCACCGACCCTGCCAGCTTTGGGATGGAATTTCTTTTTGCTAGTTTTGCTTTTGAGAACTATTCCTGCATTGGGGTTCTGTTTATCTTCCTTCTTGGTCCTGGTGGTAGATCAGAGAGGGGAGGGGAGATGGTTCTTACAGCAGATAATGCTCCTGGGCTCCAGGACCCACTTCACCTGCCACCTTTTGTCTCAGAACCCTGAGAAATGACTGAGTCTGCAGGGAGAGACCAGCCAGGTGCCCTGGATGCGTGGAGGAAAGGGCACATCTCGGGCTGGGGCAGAGGGCGTGGGAAGACAAGTCTGATTTCAGCTGGTCCAGAGGTGGAGTCGGGTATTGTGGGCGGAGGGGATGGCTTGTGCAAAGGCCCTCGGGTTCTAGAGCACGTGAGCTGATTCGCGTTTAGTGTGTGTGGGGTCAGGTGCACATGGCACCCGAGTCCACCAGCTTGGCCCTCCTGTTTGGGAGTAGTTAGGGTCCCAAGCCCACTGAGTGTTTTTCTAGGGAATTTTTCTTCTACACAGTTTTGCCACTAATTTCAGGGGGTCCTGGGCTCTGGAGGAGATCTTGCTCTTGCTTTTTTGCCTAGCCATGCAGTTCTTTGGGATGAATCAGTGCATGGTCTGGACCCTGTTTCTGCTGTGGGACACCTTGCAGCCTGGTCTCATGGTCTGCCCACCTCTGCAGAGTCTGATTGGGGCCCGGCCTTACCCTCTTGTGCCCTCCACGCCAGGGTTCCATTGCATCGTGGCTGGTAAGCTCAGGCATGTCACTGAATCTTACTGGGTCTTATTTTCTTCATCAGGGAAATGGGAAAAACAGTATTCCTCCTTTGCAGGGTATTTGTGACAGTTACCTGAGTTAAGACTTGGGAATTGCAAAGGGCAGAGGTTGGCAAGCTTGGCAAGCTCCCAACTTAGTGCTCAGCCTGTTTTTGTGAATAAAGTTTTATTGGCCATGCTCATTCATTTGTGTCTGTCTATGGCTGCTTTCCCAATACAGTGGTGGGTGAGTAGGTGGACAGAGTCCAAAATGCAAACCTGAAATATTTTGCCACCTGGCCTTTGCTGCCCTCTGGCTTAGAGCCTTGCTGGGCATGTGCCTCCACGTTCCCAGTTTCCTCGTCTGTGCAGTGGGGACAAAGTGGCAGCCCCCTGTAGGCTGCTGTGGGAGTCTGGTTGGTAGGGTATGTTGAGGACGGGGATGGGCCGAGTGAGGAGGTTTGACTTCTGGGGCCTCCCTGCCGACACGGCCTGAGCAGTGTGGGAGCCAGGTGGTTGAGGGACTTGGGGCCTCTTCTGCATTTCCCCTGAGTGTTCTTTTTTTTTTTTTTTAAAGATTTTATTTATTTATATGAGAGAGAGAGTACGAGCAAGGGCAGAGGCAGAGGGAGAAGCAGGCTCCCCGCTGAGCAGGGAGCCCAATGCAGGATCCATCCCAGGACCCCAGGACCATGACCTGAGCCGAAGACAGACGCTTCACCTACTGAGCCCCCAGGTGTCCCTCCCTTGAGTGTTCTGAGCGTGGAAAGCCTAAGTCCCGATGTCAGCTCTCCCCACATCTCAGAGGGAAACGATGAGGCCAGAAGGCGGACCCAATGACAACCTGAGAACCTCGGGCCACATGGGCCTTGTGAGGGTCGGGGGGGGAAGGGGTGGATGCACAATGGCACAGCCTCTGATAGTGCTGAGATGGGGAGCGCTTGGCAGCCCCTGGGGCTGCAGTTGTCCCGGGGAATAATGTGTCCTCTGTCCTCCGGGTGCAGCTGCCGTGGGGGCGGGGAGGCGGTGGCCTGGAGCTCCTTCCCGGGCCTCCTCTGCCAGCAGCTGTCCAAGGCCTGGAGGACGCCTCGGGCGTGGGCTGGGTTCTCCCTGGGCTGGCCACCAGGCCTGGAGCCTGGGTTTGGGGACAGGCAATCCCAGCCCCCGCTTAGGAGGCACTTACAGTGTGCCAGGCTCTGAGCTGAGCTCTTTGTACACGTTGGCTCATTCCAGCCTCACAGCAGCCTGGGAGGTGGGGATCGTCCCATTGTACAGATGAGGAAGCCGAGGCAGGGAGGGAGTCCCTGACGTGCTTGTGGTCATAGTGCTGGGAGGTGGCCGAGTGGGCTGGGATCTGAACCTGGGGCGTGAGTGCTCCAGAGGCAAGGACTAGGTTTGGTTTTGTTTTGTTTTTTTAACCTCCTCCTCCCCAGGGTGCTCCCGGGAGGGCTTGGGTGCTCAATAAACCTCAACTGGAATGAAAGTGTCGACGCATAGCTCAATGAAGGATTCCCTTGTGTGTTTAACCAGATTTTGAAAACAGCTTTATTACACAAAGAATAACCCTCAAAGAAGGAAAAATACTGGTCCATAAAGAAAAAAGTGAAAGCCCCTCCCCCACTGTCCGTAGCTACTTGCGCCTCTCTGGCTTGTTCTCATAATTCTCCCGTTTACAAAACCAGGCCTGCACTCTGTATGATAGTCTGTAACTTGCCGATTCAGACAGAGTGCTGTCAACAGATGTTCACGGAGGGTCCGCTAAGGCCAGGCCTTGGGGGCTGGGACATGGGGGTCTCGGTGCTTGCTCTTGGGGAGTTTGGTTCTGTGGGAGGACGCGGCCAGGTTGGTGGAGCAAGAGAGAGGCATGTTGTGGGAAGAGGGAAGGCCTCACAATTTTGAGGGGAGGTTGTGAAAACTTCCATACAGGAGGACATAAAAGGACCTGACCTCTGTGGAGCGGGGGGCAGGCTGGGCGGGGTCGCCCCCGGCAGGAGGCCCAGGGAGGGCAAAGTCAGGGAGGTGGGATTGGTAGGCAGCCTTGCTTCTGGGATGTGGGGACTGTCGTGATAGATGTCCCATGTGCCGGGGCCTGAAGCCATGGCTGGAAAGTCGGGGAGCGTGGCAGGGCATGCTGGCTGGGGTGTCCCCTGCGCTGATCCCGTGCTCCTCTTCCCTCCACCGCAGGATCGCAGCCTGGCGGGCAAGCTGGAGCCCGTGTCTCCTCCCAGCCCGCCGCACGCCGACCCTGAGCTAGAGCTGGTGCCTCCGCGGCTCTCTAAGGAGGAGCTGATCCAGAACATGGACCGGGTGGACCGCGAGATCACCATGGTGGAGCAGCAGATCTCCAAGCTGAAGAAGAAGCAGGTGCTGGCGGGCGGGGGCGCCAGAGAAGAGAACACGGGGAATAGCAGTGAACGTGTGACGGGCCTGCCCACGTGCCGGCTCGTGTTCCTGCCCTGACGTCCCCCGGGCCAGAGCGCTGTTCTGGGTGGTGCGCTGGCATCCACAGAGCTTTCTGCGGTCGTGGGAATGTCCCAGGTCTGCGCTGTCCCCAGAGGTAGCCGTAGCCACGCGTGACACGCGCCTGGTGCGGTGCGGAGCTGAACTTTGAGCTTAGTGTGACTTGGATTAAATGGCACCTGTGTGCTTGAATAAGCCTCAAGTGGCTGTTGTACCAGCCCCACCGGGTGCGGGCCGCGGCCAGGATTCACAGCCAGGCTGTCAGGGTTCTGATCTTGTTGCTACCACTCCCCAGTGATGTGGGGAAGGCAGTTCCCTCTCTGTGCTTCCCGCTCCTCGTCCACCATGTGGCGAACATACCACCTGCCTCTGGCCACGGCCCTGGAACCTGAATGGGCGGGGCCTCCCTGCTCTGCCTCAGAACAGTCCCTTCCCTCAGCCTCGGTTTCCTTTCTGTAAACGGGAATGGACGTGACAGCCCGTTGTAGGGTTGTGAGGACAGAACGGGGTCGTGTGGTAAAAACAGATCTTTCTGGTAACCGTGGAGACCAAAGAAAAGTTAACGTAGAGATTTGTGATATTAATTTTATAGTTTAATTTTTAAGTTCAATTGACATAAAATTAATCGATGATCTGCCTTTTCCCAGATCCTCTCAGGCTTCCCTTTGGCGTCTTCAGGTCTCTGCTCAGACACCCCCTCCACAGCGGGGCCCTCCTGGCCTTCATAGGCGCCCTCAGCCCCAGCCACCCTCTATCCTGGGGCCGGCAAATCCAGCCAAATCCGGATTGATGCCTGTGTTTGTAAATAAAGTTTTATTGGCACACAGTCACGTTCGCACGTGTTACCTGTGGCTGCTTTCTAGGTACAGTGGCAGAGCTGAGTGGTCACATCAGGCACCAGGTGGCTGGCAGAGCCTTAAGGCATCTACTCTTGGGGCTGTCCCTGTTCCGTCCCCGCACCCCTCTGGATGGCATCACCATTTGAATGCCTCGTTGCATCGGCTTCTCTCACAATGAGAGCGTAAAAGCAGGGTCCCTGTCTGCCCGCTCACTGCCGTGCTCCTCGCGGTGCTGGCGCGTAGTAGGTGCTCGGCTCAACAGAAACTGTTGATTGAGTCAGTGTGACGCTGTCCTGACCCTGAGGAGCATCTGGGTTGCCCCTGGGGGAAGCAGGGTCACACTTGGTCCTCTCTAGGTAAGGAAGTATGGGTTCCAGGTCACGTCAAGGGCCACCCTGGCTACCATGGGCAGTGGGCCCAGCAGCTTTGGAAGGAGGCCCAGGTTGCTGATTGATTCTAAGAGGGCATCGGGGCTGTTGCTCACATGGAAGAGCTGGGACTCGGGGGTGGTCCAACAGCTGGGCTGGTCACTGAGGTGTAGCCGGCTGTCCCTGACCTGGGGGACAAGAGGTGGGTTTCCAAGATGGGGACTCAGGCCTCCTGAATGAGGGCCGGGCCCTGGTTGGGGTCAGGCAGCATTTCCAAGGTCAGGGAGGGAGTACTTTTGTTCCTCCAGGCCTGGCTCTGGGATAGGGCTGTAGCCACAGGTCATGTGCACACTTATGACTGTGGCTGGAAGCCAGGTGGCCCAGAGCAGCCCTTGATCGATTTTTTTTTTAATTCCACGATGGCATTTTTTTTTTTTTTTTTTGAACTAAAATTCACAAAACATAAAATTACTCATTTTAAGGTGGACAATTCAGTGTCATTTAATACATTTGTAAGGTTGGACAGTTATCCCATGTATCTAGTTTTAGGACATTTTCATCTCCCCTGAAGGAGACTCTGTACCCATGAGCTGTCATGCCCCCTTCTCCCCTCTCCCACAGGCCACCAATCTGCGTTTCTGTCCTTATGGATTTACCTATTCTGGATATTTCATAGAAGTGGAATCCTAGAACACATCACCTTTGGTGTCTGGCTTCTTTCACTCGGTGAAAGGTTCATCCATGTTGTAGTAGGTGTCAATGCATCCTTCCTTTTGTTTTCGTTTTTGTTTTTTTTTTTAAATAATCTCTATGCCCAGCATGTGGCTCGAACTCATGCTCCACCGACCAAGCCAGCCGGGAGCCCCTTCTTTCCCTTTTAAGGCTGAATAACACCCGCTGTGTGGATGGACCACATTCTGTGTACGCTGATGGACATTTGGGTTGCTTCCAGCTTTTGACTGTCGTGAACAGAGCTGCCGCGAACGCTGCGTTCAGGTTTTTGCTTGAGCGTCTGTTTTCGGTCCCTTTGGCTCGTACCTGGGAGTGGAGCTGCCGGGTTGTCTGGTAACCCCGTGTGTGATGTTTTGAGGAGCCCCAGACTGTCCTCCAGGGCAGCCGAGCACAGGGCTCCCGGTTCCCTCCCGGGCTCACCGACGCACCTTGTTTTCCGTGCTTCTGTTTCCTTCTAGTCGTCCTGGCCGGTAGAGGTGGGATCTCACTATGGTTTTGGTTTGCCTCTGGTAGCCAGTGTCTATCAAGCTTAGTGTAGCAGCACATTTTGTCATCTTCTAGAGAGGTTCAGTGACTTGCCCAAGGCCACAGAGCTGGTGAGGGACAGAGTGAAGTTCAAATCTGGCCCTGGCGGAGTTGTGCATTGCCAGGGTCTCTGTGCGTCTCAGGTGGTATTTCTCCTTGGTGCCTCAGGGAGGGCCACCTTCAGAAATCGGAGAGAATCTCCTTCCTGGCTGTGTGCTTCTTCCACTTCTTGGCTTCGTTTTTTTTTGCACTCTTTTGGGGGCTGATTTCCATGTTTCGCCAGATGCTGGCCGCCCTTCTGGAAGCTGCCTCCAGGGGTCACTGTGGGACTGAGGCAGCTTGGCTCCACCAGCCAGGCCTGGGTGCCGGCAGAAGCCAGGACTGGATTTTCTGGCTCCTTCTGCCTTGCTCATCTTGGCCGATTGCTTTGCTCCATGGTCCATGGTTGTGGGTAGGCTGTGCATTATGAGCAGAAAATGGTGTTCTGTTCTCACTCTGGATGCCCTCTCAGATTGCACACAGCCGGGCATTGGCCTTCTGTGTGACCTTGGACCGGTGTCTTAAGCTGTCTGGTCTTGACTTTCCCTTTCTGGAAGAAAGCGGACAGCAGCATGAAGGGATGTCCTCCGGTGTTTGGCGGAGGAGGGTCCAGCACGAAGAGCACCAGGCGGATGAGGAGGAGGAGGTGCTTGCTTGGTGCTGTGTGCATTGCCTGCCTCCACACATTTAACCCCGGACCTGCTCTCCACGGTGGAGACTTTCATTATCCCTAGTTTCCAGATGAGGAAAGTGAAGCTCAGAGAAATTTAGCCATTTCCCACTTAGAGAGCAAGGAAGTACTTGAACTAGGGTTGGGCTGCAGAGTCCACAGTCTCCCCTGATGGCGATAGTCCTGGTAATGAGGAGGAGGAGGATAGCCACTGGCTTTCAGTGAGCCCCCAGCCGCACTGTACATGCAGCAACTTATCCGGGATGCACGGTGATAAGCCCCGTTTTACAGACCAGGAAACGGCCACACGGCTCGGCAGCTTGCTTTCGCTCACCTAGCTCGTAAGTGGCCAGAGTGGGATTCGAACCCAGGAAGGCTGGCCACACCGCCGAGAGCCTGCAGCGGGCTCTTCCCCGCCCAGCAGAGGCCCCTCCAGGGCTCGGGGTCCCCTGGTGACTCAGAGGAAATGGTTAGCAGCCTGACTTCCTGTGCGAGTCCACTGGGCCTGCTGGGCTGCGCAGGGCCACCCCTCCACCTTGGGGGTGCTGCCTCCCGTCTTCCGCCCGCCCGGGTGCTCACCGCCGCACTCTCCCCCTTCCCACAGCAACAGCTGGAGGAGGAGGCCGCCAAGCCTCCAGAGCCTGAGAAGCCTGTGTCGCCGCCGCCCATCGAGTCAAAGCATCGCAGCCTGGTGCAGATCATCTACGACGAGAACCGGGTATGCCCCACCCCGGCCTGCGGGGCCCTCGCTCCCTGTTCCCCGCACTGGCCCTGGGCTGGCTGCCAGGTGGGATGCAGGTGTCGCCGGGAAGGCCCGGCTTTCTCCCTGGGCCTCAGCATTCCCATCTGAGGAATGGGGACCTCTTTCTTCGATCTCCCATGTGTGCACAGCCCTGGGTTTGGGAGCGGGGGGCAGGAAGGGGCAGCCCATCTTGGTGTGGCTGTGGCTGTTCTCAGGCGTGCTGATGGGTGGGGACTGTGGCTGGCCTGGGGGATGCAGGGAGCAGTGTAGGCATCAAGTTGTAGGAGAGCCTCGGGCCGGTTGATTGGGAGGTCGGGGTGGGAAGGATTGGGTGATCAATTTGGCGCCAGAAAAATTCCCATAATGCAGAAGAGGGTATTGTTATTATTATAACTATTGTTATTAACAGTAACAGCAAACCTTAATTGAACAGCTGCTTTTCAGGTGATGGGCCAGGTTCTTTACATAGCAGTCCCGGGAGGGTAGGTGCAGTAATTGTTTCCATTTAACACAGGGAGAAACTGAGGCCCAGAGAGGTTAGGTGACTTGTCCAAAGCCACACAGCTAGAAAGTGGTGGACCTGGGACTTGAACTTGTGGGCCGTCAGGTCCTAGATCATGAGCACTGGCCTCTGCTGCCATATAGCCGTGGAAGGGGCTTTGGCATTTCTGAACACAGGGTCTCTAGCAGGCTGTGGGGGCTCTTAGAGATCTAGGAGGGCAGCTGCTGGCTGATTGGAGGGGGCTCAGTTTTGGAGGAGTGACTTACAGGACCAGAGCAGAGTGTCTCTCAGGGGCTCCAAGCCCCTGAGAGCTCAGCTTCCATGATTTATAGTGGACTCTTTGCAGATGTGCTCAGGGCCTTTGGATGTGAGTCCCCTCCCTTATTTGACAGATGAGGAAACATCTGTCCCCACAGAGGGACTGTTCTTGTCTGAGGTCACACAGTGAAGCATGACGGATGGGGGACCTCTTCTCCTGCCTTGTCTCCTCTGGCCCCCCCGCCTGCCCGGGGGTCCTGGCCATCCTTCCCAGCAGTCTCTGCTGTAGGACCTGCCCCTGGCTGCTGGAGCAGTGCTCAGAGTCCAGCTGGGGCTGGGGGTACTGCGGCCTGGTAGCTTCTGGAGCCTGTGGCTGTAGCTCTGGACAGGGAACTACCGGATCAGTTGGTTTGGCAATGCATCCACCTCCTGAGGTGGCATTAGATGCGGCGTGGGACTGAGCCTGCTGGGGGCCTAGGTTTGCGGGCCGGTCACCCTCCCATACCCTGGCCCCCACCCCAAGTAACACTAACAACGATCCTGACAATACGAGAGTGACAGGTCACATATGCTTTAGCCAGATGCCCTGGGTTCCCGTCCCGTCTTCACCACTCCCTGGCTCTGTGACCTTGCGCCACTTACTTGAACCTCCCCGTGACTACGTGCAGAGCGATGATAAGTATAGCACGTCCCTTGCGCGGTGGCGTGGGAATGAAGTGAGTTCATCGTGGAGCGCCCTCAGAACAATGCCCAGCACCGAGCAAGTGCTAGCTGGTGCCGTGACTGTTGCCAGAGCTCTTTTCTGGTTGTTGCTTACGTGGTACGTGATTTCACGGAATTCTCCCCCGACTTGTATGAAACAGGCACTGTTATTCCCTTCATTTTACTCATAAAGAAACCGAGGCTCAGGGAGGGAAGATGAGCTGCCTGAGATTGCACAGCAAGTGAGCCTTGAGCTGGGAACTGGAGCTAGGGTTGAGCTGACTCCAGGAGCCTGTGGTGGAGGGGACCAGGGCAGGGCTCCCAGGTGTCACCCCAGACAGCCCCTCTGCCTACCCTCCCTGATCTTTGGGTGAGAGAGCAGGCATGCTTCCCTCCAGCAGCCATGGAAGCAGATTGGTGGCTTTTGCTCAGGATGTCACCACAGTGCCGTTGGTCCTTGTCAGGCACTCCGCCTATTGGGGGCTGGCAGACTGCAGCAGGCTGCAGCCCCCAGCCCTCCCCAGCCAGGTGGACTCGAAGGCCAGGCCTTTGGTGCCCCCTGTGGGAAGCTTGCTCCTCTTCCCAGCCCTGCGACTGGCCTGCCTTTCCCTGGGGTTTGTCCGTCAGGTCTCAACCAGGTTTTCCCCAAAGAGCCGTGGCTGTAGAGCGGATCGGTCTTTGGCTCCTTGGCCTCAGCACTCCCCCTCCCCCAAGAGCAGTGAAGATACCCCCTCCCAGTTCTTACCCAGGATGGTCTCCCTGCCAGAATTCCCGCCTCCTTCCGTCCAGATTTTCTGCAGCTTCTGTGTGAGTGGGCAGGTGGGGGGAGGAGGAGGGGGCTTGGATTCCAGGCCAGCCTACGCCCGGATGAGCTGGGTGGTTTATTTTAGTCTCAGGTCTTTGGTTGCTCTGGGTCCCGGCCATGTTCTTGAAGTCACAGGGTTGATGTGGCTGAGATGGCTGGAAGAAGGGCTTTGTAAACTGTAAAGTACTATACCAGGAAGGGTCCAGTAAGTCAAGACTCTCGGATACAAGAGACAGAAACTCAGCTCGCACTGGTTGAGGCTGAAGAGGGGTTATTGAATCTTATAATGAGAGTTGGTGTTACTTCAGGTGTGGGTGGATCCAGGCACCCAAATGGAGATGTTTGGGAGCTCTCTTTCCACATCCCCGCTCTCTTTGTGCCAGTGTCATTCTCAGGCAGGGATCCCCAGCGCCTGGAAAAGCTGCTGCCATCTCGGCCCACCCACCTCCCAGGGCAGATAGGAAACAGTTCTGGGATTGGTGCTCACTGGCTGGCTGGAGTCCTGTGCTCATCTCTCAGCCAGTCCCAGGCCCTTGGAGGGTGGGGAGGTCCGACTCCACTGATTGGTCAGGGCTGGGTCTCAGGCCCCCCCTTGGAGACTGGGGTGCTGTCCTCAGACCCCCACCCTGGGCACTAGATGGAGGGAGGGGGATTCTCCCAAGAGGAGAGGAGCCTGGCCACGCACATGCAGCCTGTACCCCCAACCCTGGGCTGGTGGTCACCACGTTGGAGTCCCAGAGCGCTGGCATTGCTCTGTGTGCCCCAGCTCCACAGGCTGGGGGCTTCGAGCCCATTTCCTTGGATTTCATTCCGATGGTGTCCTGATGGTGTAGGAGTCGTGGGGTTAGGTTAAACTGAAGCTCTGGTCATTTCCCCGAGACCTCATAGCTAGTGAGTGGCGGGTTAGGACTCGAGAGCAGGCCTCTGCCGGGTAAGTTCAGGTTCCTCGGGGGCATGACAGTCATCCTCTTCATTCATTCATTCGTTTATTCATCCATTCAGCAGCTGTGTGACTGACCACTGTTCCAGGCAGTGGGGGACAGCAGTGACCTTGGCCCACTCGCACTGATTCTCTGTCAGGGGAGACATAATCACACCCACAAGTCACTACACGGGCTCACCGTTGATCCAAGGATTTTACCCCTCATTGTCCCTCAGTTTCCCTTTTACTCTGATTAACCCTCACTCTGCCCCAGCCTCCCTGGTATTTGTGCTTCCTACCTCAGGAGCTTTGCACTGGCTGTGTCCTCTGCCTTGAGCTCCTTTTCCCCGCTGGGCTCACTTACTTGCTCCTTCAGCTCTTTGCTCTAATGTCCCCTTTCCAGCAAGGCCTGTTTTGATCCTCCGTTTAATCCTGAAAACACTTCAAGGGACGTTTCTCCTCTTCCTGGCTTTAATTTTCTCTTTGCCCTTGTTCCCACCCCACTGGACATGATTCACATTTTATTGTTTATTCTCTTTATTGTAAACAGAAGTTCTGTGAGAGCAGGGATCTTTGTGTCTGTTTCCCGGCTCTATCCCCAGCCCCTGGAACGGTGCCTGGCACATAGTAGGTACTCAGTAAACATTTCTTGAATAAATGAAGCATGGCAGAGGGGAGGGGAGACCCTTTCCCCTGGAAGAGTCCTCTGGTTTTGGGGGTGCTGGGATTGGTCCCTGGCCCCGGTGGAGGTTAGCATGGAGGGCTGTCCCTCCATGGGGCTGAACCTCGGGGCCTGGAGGTTGGGTGGGCAGGAAGCCCCTCAGCTGCCTTTGGCAGAAGCAGCCAGAACTTACCTCCCCTTGGGGGATCAATAGGATTAAATTTTAATCCTCCTTCCTTCCCTGCTGGTTCCTCTGAGAGGTGGATGACAAGGGTCTGTCTCTAAATGCCTTGCCGGCTGGAAAACGCAGCTTCCCTGCCAGGCAGGGCCTGTCTGGCTTTTCTGCATATTGGACTCTGGCTCATTATCCATTCGGGGCTCATGGATGAGGTGCCCAGCACGCGCAGCGGGAGCCAGCTGAGCAAGGCTTTTCCTGCTTCCCAGGAGCTGCCTCTGTGGGCGGGGCAGGGCAGGTGCACACAGATGGGAGAACAGGAGGCAGGGTTCTGCAGGGCTCCTGGGGGCAGGAATTGGGGGGGCGGTGGTGGGCCAGGATTGGGGAAAGCTTCTTGGAAGCAGTGGGTGGGCCGTCACCCCTGAGGAGGAGGATATTCTGGTGAGGAGGGGTCCCAGCGCAGGCAAGGGCTCAGAGAAGGGCAGGGTCTCATGCGATCTTCAAAGGGAGTGTGTGAGGGGCGGGAGATGGAGGCCTCGTGGGTCTAGGAGCGTGCTTGCACTTCAGAGTGTGGCTAAAACAAACACATGCGGCACCACTGCAGGCTGACGTAGTTGGTGCTGATTCTGCAGGGATCCTGGGTAGTGGGCATTTGAGGTAGACTTCCTGGGGGAGGCAGGACTTGGGCTAGGTCTGCAAACATGGGCGCTGTTGGGACACACCGGAAGGGTATTTCCAGTGCAGAGGACTACCAGGCGGTGAGGGGGCTGCGTTTATGGGGGCAGAGCATATCCACGCACACACATGTGCACGTATGTCTGAGCGGGCCTGTGGGTGACTGCACGTGTGTGAATGCACGTGTGTGCGTGTCAGCCCACGTGGGGCACACCTGTGGTTCTTTGTGCAGTGCTGAGCGATGAGGGAATCAGAGAGTAAGACCCACGTCGTCTTTTGTCTTAACATTTC